TTTAAAATATCACATTTATACTGGGATCATTAAGATATATTAATCCATTTTAATTTTGAGATGTTATATTTTCGACATAATTATGATTGATTCCATCGATATAAAGGTAAGTATTTTCATATAAGTTGTTTAAATTTTCAATGAAAATTAAACCTGATTTATGTTTAGCAAAAAAATTATTGAAGCTACAATTATAAATACTTATATTGCCAATGTCTACAGCATACATTAAACCTCCAGTACCACTTGTAATGTTATCAAAAGTAGAATTGATGATTGAAATCGTTTTGACATTCTAGATATAAAATATGCCTCCTTATTCAGCAGCTAAAAACATATACTAAGAGTTTTCATCTCAAAAATATTACGAATCATAAAGCTAGTAAATTGAGCCTTTTTCTGCAATATGCCAAGAATCAAAAGTATTATTTGATGATATTACAGACGCAGCATTTTACAGATAAATCAAGCTCCCTCTATAATTATAAAAAAGTCCAAGATTACTAAAATAGTAAAATATTTATTCCATATAATCCCACATTTCCTCCATCTGGAGGTAGTTATTATCTAGTTTAAAATCTAGACCATCAAATAAGCTGTAAATGATTTACCCTTCACTTGTTGAGAGAAGTTATGTTATAATATTGTTTGATATTTGAACTGATTTTGCTTTCAAAACATAAAATAAGCCTCCCTCCTATGACAGGATTTGAGTAAAATTGTTATTCTCCAAAATAACTTCTACATCTTCATTATCAGCATAAATCAAAGCTCCATTTTAATCCGCATAAATAAGTTTGAAATTTGAATTTATAAACTTAATTTATTGAATTCCTGTTCCATTAGCCATTATTAAACCAGCATGATCAAAAGCATCACAATACCAAAATTTTGAATTCATAACTAGTACGTTAGCAGTATTGCTGGCTATCATCAAAGAGGCATTACGCACCTACATAAATGAAACTTTAATCTAATCTAATATGATTGTACAACTATCGCAATAGTATATTCCTGATAATCCATCAACTTAAATGTAGATAGATTATTTGTCAAAAATGTTGAAATATCTAGGCATATAAAAAACAGCTACAGGCTAAGTTGTGATAATACCCTTGAAAGTATTTTTCTCTGAATATATCTATCCTCTTCCATTTTAAAGATAGAATAAACCTCCTACTAATATCCCATTGTTAAGCAGCAAACCAAAATTCGTACCAAAAACATTATAATCAACATAATCTTCTACTTCATACAATTAGTCAATTATTGAAAAATTTGTTTCAGTTATATTTATGAATATTGAAGGATTAGCTGACTCATTAAGATAAATGAAAGAGCCTAATTAGGAAGATTTTATGCGATTAAAAGTGCTATTTTTACAAATAAGCGTTAGATTAGTAGTTGTGCTATGAGAATATATTATTCCTCCATATTAAGTCCTACTTGAATTTTGTATAGTAAGATTATCGAATTCTATTAATTAGATTTTTCCATTGAGATATAGCAAACCCCCATTTCCATTATCCTTTATTTTCAGATAAAAAGAATGCTTTATTGTAATCTAATTTACTTCAGAACCTCCCAAATAAATTCTTCCAAAAATATAAAATTCATAGTCTTCCTAATTATTTAAGAATGTAAGGTTTGTTATTTAAACGTAATTGTATAACCCATTCATATAGATTATAGAACTTGATTGCTCTAAGTAACGTACGTCTAAAAAATTACAATCTTCTATTATAACGCTAGAATTTAGTGCATCAAAGTATACCAGAGTTCCATTCTGCTAGTTTATCTGAAAAAGAGCAGTTTGATTTTTTACTACGAATTGAGCTACTGAACCTTATATAAAAAATAATCCTCCTGCTATTGAATTTTATCCACTGAAATAGAAATAGCAATTATTAATTTCTATTTAACTATCAATTGAAGAAACTATCATAGCAAAACCACCTTCGAATCTACTTCTAATCGATTTGAATTAAGATGCTTTAATATTTACTCTGATAATGGAAGCCTCAAGATACATAAAGCCTCCTGCTCCAATATTATTACCAACGCTAGATATTGAGGAATTTTCAATCAAAACAAGAATAGAATAATAAGCATGACAGAATATACCTGTTCCATTAATTTTAATCAAATTATCGTCATAAGGAGTATATAATGCATCTATCTATGAGTCTATTATCTGGATTAAGAAATTGTCTATTTTATTCTTGACTTTAACTACTCCACCTTATTTAATATAACCATACCCGCCAGAATTAACATTTTTCATAGTAAAATTCAAATTCAAGTTTTATTAAGTATTAATTTGCTGAATAACTCCTTATTCAGGCTCAATTTATCTATACTAATTTGAAAATAGCACATAGCCTTCTTCATAAGTTTGTTCATTATTCTTGAATATTTGCACATTTTCAAGAAGAAAATCAAGAGATCTAAATGACTCGTAGTATAGTAATGAACCAAAGTAGCCACCTAACAATTCAAAATGCATTACATCTAAAATTTCACTGCGAATTACAACTCTAGATTTCAAATTTAATCCTATTTAACCTTCAGTCTACTAAGAATCATTGATGTAAATAAATCCCCCTTTTTCAACTCCTAGTGAGTTACTAAGCTCATTATCAATAAACTCTATAGTATCTATGACAGAATTATCTATATAAATTGCACCTCCATTCTGAGCCATTATATTAGTAAATCTGTTCAACTCAAATTATTTTATCAGGCAATTTTTGCAATAAATTGATCCTCCATTCTACCTTGACTTAATTTGTAGGAATGAGTTATTATAAACTCTGAGAATACTTATATATTCCGATTAAAGGTGTAAAATTGCTGATTTATTGCTTACTTAATTTTAGAAACTGCTATTCAACAAATTGACACTGATAGTATTATTCAAACTTGTAAGAAAAAACAAAGGATAGAGATACACTTATGGCTCTATAGGAACTTCCTCGATCAATTTAATGTTTGAGTCTTTAACAGTTAAACTAAAGTCATTTTATAGTTAATCTCCAAAAATTAAAGTTCCAGCATTTTCAATATCTTTGTTTAAATTGTGGGCTATGTTAAAGCTATTAAGATTCTATATATGCAAAGATTTAAGTGACAATATTTCAATGAATGCAGTCTTAAATGCACCTTCATTAATTTCAATGAATGAGAGTAAGATATCATCAATAAAAACTTGAGTATTAGGTGCATCAAATTGAATCAAATTAGTACCATTATATAGGTGTATCTATTCCAAAGAGATGTTTTTGAATTTAATAAAAGTTTCAATTTGCTAATTCTAACTATTCAAATTATCTCTTTAAACCTTGATCAATTTCATGCTTAGTTTGTTTGAACTTATCATCAATCCAATTATGTTTGTCATCATCAGTTAAGGATTTGCCATAGATGATCCGATAATATCCTTTATTGTAATGTTAAAAAAATGGCTATCTTGTCCATATTCACTTTATTAATACTACAAGTTCATTTACCCAATCATATTTAATTCTACATTATCAATTGCCAAGTTATCTGCTTTAATGTTGAAAATTGCTTGTTTACATAGAATACATTCAAAGTTATTGATTCTTATATTTCTTATTCTTAAATTTTATGGAAGCTAAAATGCGTAATTATCGTTAAGATCCAATAGCAAAGATTAATAAAAATCACCGCTTGTTTAGGCGTAAACAACATCTTATATATCTAAACCATTCTCAAAATAGCTAATCAATTTGGCTTATACTTTATAACTATTTAAGGTTTAAGGTTATTAACTTAGTTTATTTTAATTTTATTTAATGTTAAATTTATCAGTGTATGCAAATATAGGTTAAATACCTGCTTAAACTCTTAGATCTGTTAGATTTGTAAACACATCATTTAATTAACTACTTATGTATCCTTATTAATTCCATATTTTGAATCTATCTACAATCAATTAACCCTTAAAGTTTTCTAAGGCAAGTACTTAGGATCGATTAGGAATATAATCTAATTAAATCATCCAATTCTAATTAGCATAAATATTATTTATCTCCAAATAAGCTGAATTACTTATTACATAAAGTGACCTCATTAACATATCTTAATTCTAATAGCTCAAGGACTTAACCAAAAAATCATTAACTAATTATGTGAAACTCAGATATGATCCATTTATTTATTCAGTTCCAATGGGATGATAATATCCATAATTTAAAGTTTCTTAACAAGACTCTCCATTATTTAAAAGCTGCTCATCTAAAATTCTTGTTCTAAAACTTCCAATTATATCAATTATCCCAGAGCCACCAGAAACATAGTTCTAAATGTAAGAATTAAGCCTAAGACTATTAATATTGAGATCAATATTGTAACTTTCCTGGCCAAAAGCAAATTAAAACTCATTTATCTTAATCCAATCAAATTAAATTTCATCTAAATTAAACTAGTCTTCATAGTATGCTTATGCTTCCAAGGAAGCCATCTTATCATTTGGAAAAGGCGACTGCTAATCATTTTGTAAGCATTCATACTTTACTAATGCTCCTGAATATAGAGGGCATCCCATATTATATTTAAATTTGTTCTTAATCAAATGAAAACCTGAGCAAAATGAATCCTCATCTAAATCTCCTTAGAGCAATTCAGTATTTTTTAACTATTCTACTCGATGTCTAATGTTTATTACATTAGATTCAAAATAACCAAAGTTACTAGTGAATGAATTTCCTGCAATCAGAATTCTATTTTGATTTTATTTATTCACATCTAGTATTATTATGCCTTTAGTACCACTATTCTAATTAAAAGCATTGTTAATAAGATCTACATTATGACTATGCTTAGTCACTGAAATTAAAGAGTGAATTTTCAATCTATTCTTTTCACCAAGGCTTTGATATTCATCCTTTTGATAATTTAAATTGTTATTGAGTATCTCTTTGGCTATATCACAATTCTAATATTTAACCTAATTATATTGGAATTAGCTGTCTTGAATGATAACATCACCTTAAAAGTTTTCCAAGTTTATTATACTCCCATAGTTTTTATATTATATTTCCTAGTTTATAAATAATGTACCTAGTTATTTCTTAAGAGACCCTATTTAAAAAAACTATGATTCTTTGATTAATATCGAAAAACAAGGTATTTCTAGTGAATTTTTAGATTTTATTGAGCAATTTAGCTTAGATTTATTTGATAGTAAAAATTATTGGTCTTTCAAAATTTATCTCTACATATCTCTTATTTCTGAGAGACCTATGCCAAAAGGAGTTTCATTATTATTACTTTATACATTTATGATTGGCTTTTTATTCCCAATTATCGAACCACATGAATTAATATTATCAAAAGTTACTTAATCAAGTATAAGATGACCATTAGAACCATTAATCTCTATTAAGCTATTAAAATTGTAGATAAAATTTTTGAATAGAACATTCTAAAAAACTGATAAAACGTAAAATTTCTAACTTTAATATCTAGTCTCTATGGAACTTGTAACAATGATTGGGGACTCTCATTAAATTCAATGAATGAACCTTGACTTTAAATTTCGCAAGAATCAATTCTAAGCAATTAAATAATAAAATATACACAAAATTTTACAAATATTTTTTCTCAAGGCAGCCTTCTGTCCCACAACAATTTATCAATCCATTTTAAAGACATTTGTTGATATCTTCTTTAGGAGTAAGCTAAGAATCTATTGCATCAAATATCAAATTTCGTAATTCAAGACCACCACCCACTATGAATCTCCATTTGTCTCTCATTTTATAAAAAACTTATTGAGGTAAACCATCTTCTGTATCAATAGTTATCTATGTTGATTATGAATACTGATCATAAAGACTGGGCATGTAAAAATCAGAAACCTATCTTAGAATAGCATGATTCAAGTCGGGTTTTGACTTTAAAATTATTTTTATCTTTGATGAAGTATATATACCTCCAATTTCATATGCCCTTGATATAGCATCTGGCAAGCTTTTTATGCCTCTTTCATAGGAACCTAATTAATGATCAAGATTTTCCGTTTCTTCTATTGGAAAATAAGGTTCAACATAAATAGTGTCTTCATAATATTAGTCTATCTTTGTTAAACATCTTCCAAACGTTTTATTTTTTGCTACCGATAGGTATTTCCCTTTATTACAAGATGTGCATTTATCAAAGTCAATGCATTCAAAGCAGTCTTCTTAGCATTTAATACATTTTGATTCAATAATATATCCTCTTTCATTGAATACAGACTTACCAAAATATCCATAACCGCAGTTACTAACACACTACCCATCTTTAACGAAGCCATTAAAACAAGCAAGAACCTCAAAAACTTGAAGAGTTTGAGAAGCATCTTGATAATTGAATGAGCAGCGAGAAATACTATTTAATTAATTATCTTTGTTACAGTCTACAGTGTAAATTATTAATTATTTTATTTCCTACCACCACACTACAGGAAGTTGCTGCTGATTAAAGAAAATCCTTCTGCACAAATTAGACATTCTTACTCATTAGATGGATAGATACATGTTCCTATTCCCTCATCTATTTTAATGGAGTTAAAATATAAAAATGATTACATTTTTTACATCCATCATATTACAAATTAGATTAAATCAAAGATTTAATGAAATATCCTTCTTTGCAAACTCTGCAATTTAAGTCGTTCATAACATCAAAATGGATGCAATTCTTATCTTGACTTTATCATGAGATTTGATTTAGTTCTACATAATTTAGAAATAACAAATAGACTACCGCATTTATCTGCTGATTATAGTTTTGGGCAGGTCAAGCAAAGTGATGAGTTTTAGGCTGTGCAATTAAGACAAAATTCAGGTCCTTTACACCCTATATATGTATTTTGAAGAGTTTTAATCATGATTTTACTTTAACATTCAGAAAATTGTCTGCTGAGTTAAGAATATAATGAAATTCTGATACTTTCATTGGAAATAATTAAATTTTAACTTGTTGTTTAAAGATTAGAAGATAATGGCTTTGATATAACCCAGCTATTTAAATTTGCAGCAGGATCACAATATTCACAGCCATATTTAATGTTACAATTGTTGCAGTTTTTTCCACAATCTATATAGTAAGCATATATCATATTGTAAGAAATTTACTTAGACACATTCCAGAGATTGGATCAGCAACATAGTTAAACTAAGACTTCTAGCAATCAGAAACACAATAGTTTAGAGTTATTTTATAATCAGATGAGAATCGTATGTTTCAGTTTGAAAGATATAAGTTATCTTGACAGGATAAGCATGTCACAAAATAAGACTGCAATTTTTCGTCATATTATTCTAAGCATTCACTGCATCCATACAAAGAATCAGCGCATTCTAAAATATCAGTATGATTAAATTACTTGTGCATATCTAGAGCTGAGTTGAAAAATACTCGTCAATATTTAGACCTATCATTCGTTAAATATTTGATTTTTACAACTAAAATAGACGCCTAATATAGTTGCTATGATCTAGTAGTCTTTGAAAGATATTTAGAAATAGGGAAACATATTTAAATATGAAATTATTTTTCAATAAAATTATTGGAACTAAAAATAGGAATATATTACTTCATTTCCAAGAAGTCTTAATCAAGCATCAAATGACATTCATGGCGTTTTGGGGTTTTGGGG